GGACTGACAATATATACTTTACTTCTTCTCTTTTCTCCTCCCACAAATAATTATTATACTTACGACTTTGCAACGGGAGCAGAATCACCAGTCAGTAAAGCTTCGTTAACCTCTAAATTAAAACATTCAAATAATTGAGCATCCGCACTAATTACATCTCCTTCTTCTATTACTATTATATCTCCCTGATATTAAAAAAATTATAATAAGATTTTTGATGTAATGATTTTAATCTCAAATTTGAAAAATATCACGTGAATTACAAGGGATAGTGACACAAAGTTCGTAATAAATAGTTATATAGCCCCAATTAATACTAATACTTACAGGTACTAGAGTATTTACAGGAATAGAGACCAAAGCATTTTCCCTAATAACTCTTGCGGTCGGTGATGACATTTTCCTCAATGATTCTATAGTTTTTTCTGCTCGATATTCTTGAAAAAATCCAATTAATACATTTATTATCACAACAAATCCAATTATTACTATATAATATATATATTTATAATTAATTTTTATTCTATAATGGAATTTCATTTTGACACACAACTGAAAAGAATGTCAGTCATTTACAAAAATGAATTCACCAATGAATATTGTGTATTTTTGAAAGGTGCAACTGAATCTGTATTAAAACAATGTACAAAGTTTCAAGTTGGTGATGTTATTGTCAAGAAAGGAATTATTAATGATGAAAAATTTAAACTGGAAATCAATAATGGTCATGAAAGTTTGGCTGGTAGAGGATTGGTAAATTTATTAATTTCTAATTTTTATTAAAAAAAAAAGTCAATAATTAAAATGCTAAAATACTATTTATTGTTAGCATGTAATATCATTGGCATATCGAAAAATAAATAATCAATATAAAACAGATAAAGAAATTTCAAAAATGACACGTGAGGAAACAGATAATGATATGATATTTTTGGGAATTGTTGGCATTTATAATCCACCAAGACCTGAATCAAAAACAGCTGTTATGAAATGTTTTGGTTCTGGAATTGAAGTTCACATGTTAACAGGTAAGCATTCATTATATAAATATTTTATAAATTCATTCAATAATCTGTTCTATTAAATGTAGGCGACCATCCTTTGACTGCGGCAACAATTGCTAAAAAGATAGGAATACTTCCTTCGACTTATTTAACAGACAATAATAATTTTAGATCACAATCACAACTTGTTATGACAGCAACACAATTTGATGCTCTTACCGATGAACAGATTGATGAACTTAAAGAATTGCCAAGAGTTATTGCTCGCTGTAGTACTGAAACTAAAGTGAAAATGATTGGGGCATTACACAGAAGAAATAAATTCGTGGCGATGACTGGTAACAACGTCAATGGTATGAACATTATAATAATATAATATTATTCTACGTAATGTATTCAATTCTCTCTATCTCTTTTCCCACAAAATTTGTAAAGACTCGCCAAGTCTTAAAAAAGCAGATATTGGTATCGCAATGGGAATGGGCGGAAATGACATGACAAAACAAGCAAGTGACATAGTATTAACTGACGGCAATTTCGCAACTGTAGTTAATGCAATATCAGAAGGTCGTAGAATATTTGGAAATATGCAAAATTCCATTTCATACCTATTAAGTGTAAATGTATCGGAAATCATTGTATTAATGATTGGATTGGCATTTATTGATACTGATAGATTACCCATAAATCCATTGTCACTATTGCAAATACTTTTTTTAAATATGGTTACTAGCACACCACTTGCAATCGCATTAGGAGCTGAACGAGAATCAAAAGATATAATGAAATATCTTCCGTGTAGATATCGTCGAATATTTTCATGGGAAGTTATTGCTGATACAATATTTTATGGGTGTGTTGCTGGTGGATTGACGTTAACAAATTTTGTTTTAGTGATTTATGTAACGGGTGATAGAAATTTAGGCAGTGGATGTAATTATAATTTGAATCCTTATACGGCTACAGAAGAGGGAGGAGGAGGATCATGTGAACAAGTCTTCCGAGGGAGAGGTGTAGCATTTGCAACTTTAACTTTTCTATTATTTATACGTGCTTATAACTGTCGTTCGTTGAAAGATTTATTTCGGCCAACGAGGTTATACTCGGATAATAAATTTTTATTTTGGACAGTGGTTGGTGATGCACTTGTTTCGATTCTAGCTTTATATATACCTGGGTAAGTAGTAAATCATCATTTTAGCAAAAGTAATTAAAAAATACCAATTTATTAATATATTAAGTTGTTTTTGTTTGTTTCGTTATTAATTAGGTTGAATACTCAAGTATTCCATCAATTAGGATTTAGTTGGGAATGGGGATTAGTATTAGGAGCAATAGTAATATTCGAAATATTCGTTGAAGTATACAAATTTATCAAAAGGCATTATTGTTCGTCCTTAATATTTGTTGGTGAGGATGGAGGAAGAGAATGTGATGATGATACTGCGACTATTGTCACCGTAGTATAACATATATTAATATATCAATCAATATTAATATATGCAAACCAGACAAAGCGAATGTTGGCATCACAGTAAACGTGATCGATCATATTATTGAAAAATGTTTGTTCTATTAAAATTCTCGTGATATATTTAAATAAAACATGACTTATCTTTTATTATTTATATGAATATAATATATCGCCGAGAACTATAATTTTAACTATATTAATATGTAAAAAAACTTATTAAAAATAAAGTCATATTATTAACAAAGTTCAAATTCACCAAGTAAAATATTTGAAATGTTGCACTAATTTTTTATATTGTGCAACGTAACTTTACAATACACGGCAAACATTCTGGCAATAAAAAGTAAGCGATAAACTGGATTTGAATTGGATCTGAACCTGATCTCCAATTTAGAGAGGTAAAAACTATATACTGGTAAAGTTTCAGGAGCAACGGGTTCTATATAAAGTTTCGTGTAACAACAAACTTCCACTATGCTTATTATTATTAAAATTGGGTTATTTTTGACCCCGGGACCCCAGTAAATATAGCATAGTGGAAATTTGAAATGTTACACTAATTTTTTATATTGTGCAACGTAGCTTTACAATACACGGCAAACCTTCTGGCAATAAAAAGTAAGTGATAAACTGGATTTGAATTTGATCCGAACTTGATCTCCAATTTAGAGAGGTAACAACTATACACTGGCGAAGTTTCAGAAGCAATGAGTTCTGTACAACATTTCGTGTAACAACAAACTTCCACTATGCTAGTAAATATGGTATGTACAAAAATTTAGTGAGATCGGTGCATTTTAACCAAATTCGGAAAATAACTGCAGATAATTTTTAGTTTTATGTTAAGGCACAGTCGAATTTCGAACATTGCTAGTACAAATTTTGACAGTTCATAATAGGCATTACTTTTGCATTTTACATTTACCCTTTCTTTCCAATTTAGGCAAAACTCAGGGCTGATTTCGTCATTTACAAACGTCCAACAAAAAATAAAAATTTACAATCATTTTTTCCTTCATAAACTTGAACTGCAAATAAAAATTATTCTTCAAAAATGGTAGATAGTCTTGTAACTATAGAATATATAAATGGCATTGTTGAAAAGATTGCGCAAGCAAAACATATCAGGAAATTAATAAATGATCTGACAAAATTGATGAACGAATCTAATTGTTATGATACAGAAATTAAAATTGGAGGTGGTCAGGATGTAAAAATTTTTAAGGCTCATTCAACAATTTTAAAAGCAAGATCTTCATATTTTAATGTAGCTTTATCAAATAATTGGATAAAAAAATCTGAAAGTTGCAGTACCATTTTGTTTGAAAAAGAAAATATTTCTCCAAAAATATTTGAAGTTCTTTTAACGTAAGATTAATGCTGATTTAATTAATTGAATGGTTATTGTATGTCTACAGTATATATTTTATTTTGCGTCTGAAACAATTAACATGATTCTTTCCATAAAAAAAAAAAAAAAAGATATATTTACAATGGATCCCTCGAAATAAGCAAATTAGATGCGAGCGAAATCTTTGAATTACTTGAAACATGTGATGAATTAAGTTTTAATGAATTAATTGAAGATTTACAACGTTCCTTAATTAACGAAAAAAAGGAATGGATTCTACAGAATTTAGTTTCTCTTTATAAAATTTCATCAACTCATCAATCATTTAATTTGCTTCAAGATTATTTCAAGAAATTGATTAATAATAGTCCAGGATTATTTTTAAAATCTCCAGATCTCAAAATGATTGAAAAACCCATTCTCGTGTCTATATCGGAGAGAGAAGTTTTAGATTTTGATGAAATTAATGCATGGGAGTGTGTTATTAAATGGGGAATAGGACAAATTGAACAAGTGTTATTAAATGAAAAAGAAGATGCTGATGACATTTATGATATTTCAAATTGGAACAAGGGTGATTTTAACAAGTTAAAAATCGTTTTGAAAGATATCGTACCACTAATAAGGTTCAAAGAAATATCTAAAGAAGATTTTTTTATTAAAATCAAACCTTATAAAAAAATCTTTGATAAAGAAGTATATGATGAACTTCTTCAATGTTATTTTTTTGATAAATGGCAATCAAGATCACCAATTCTTCAAAAAGGTATAAGAACAGAAAGACTTGGCAAATTGTTAAATTCAGAAATGAAAAATTTAATTTCTAGCTGGATTGATGGAGATCTTTTATACAATTATAATGAAAGTAATGCACCTTATAGGTTTAAATTAATTTTACGCGGAAGCCATGATGGATTCTCCAGAGAAGTTTTTGAGGAGAAATGTTTTGATATTAAACAAACCGTGGTCATAATGAAGCTTAAAGAGTCAGGCGAATTGGTCGGTGGATATAATCCTATTTGTTGGAACATTGAAGGAAAATCTCCGGATCAACATTATTTGATTGAAACAGATCAAAGTTTTATTTTTAAGATTGATGAAAATCAAATTTACAATTCTATTGTTAGCAGGGTTCAGCAACCTCATAAAGCAATAATTCACAATAAACAAAACCTTAATATTGTTAAAAAAGATGAACAATTTGATGAAATATCAGTGAGTTTTTACAATTTAAAGCTATTAAACAGCACTAATGATCAACCTTATTGTCTTTATTTTCATAATAGCAAGTCTGCTTATGCTGATGATCTGAGCCTTACATATCAATCTGTTTCTAAATATCAATTGTTAGAAGAATATGAAGTATATAAATTAGTAAATAGGTATTAATTATATAATATAATTGTATTTTTACTTCCTCCCCTCTCTCCTCTCTTCATTTTAATCATTATAACGATTTAAAGTTTTATAAATAAATTATCATTATTATTATTATTATTATTATTATTATTATTTTAATCTTTATTACAAATTAATTAAATATTTACTAATAATGTGTTAAATTAAATTCTAAGAAAATTTCTTTAATAATAATAATAATAATAATAATAATAATATTTTTTGAAAAAGTTGAAAATAAAATCTTTTGACGGTAAAAATCTTTAATAGATTTAAAGATGAAAAGAAATTACAAAAAAATTTTTAAATGTCAATTTATACACTAATTATTATAATATAAATTATAAAGACGTGTATATATACATACAAATAATACACAGATACAAAAAACAGATTAAACATAATATATACGTATTATACATGTATATATATTAATAGTACTTTGATGATGATGATCCACGATTATTATATCTATTTGATGACGACGATGATCTATGTTGATGGTGATGATTGTGATGATGATGATTTTGAGAAGAAGCAAAATTAAATCTTGGTCCATCAGAACTGTGATTTCCTGGGGCATAACCCGAACTACTGAATCCTGAATGATGATTACCATATCCTCCTCCACTACTTCTAGGATTTCCACCAAATCCTTCCCCGTTGACAAACATTTGGAAAAACAAATTAGGATCTACTTCAAAATCCATACCTCCTGATCCATTAATACTATCCAGATCAACACCAGAATCGTATCGTTGTTTTTTAACTGGATCGCCCAATATCGCATATGCTTCCCCTATTTCTTTAAATTTCTTCTCGGCATCCGAATCTCCGGCATTTTTATCAGGATGATGTTGTAACGCTAATTTTCTATATGCTTTTTTAATTTCACCTTCTGTTGCGTCCCTCGACACTAGTAATATTTTATAATAATCTTTACGTTGTGATTGTTTCAATTCTCTTTCTGCTTCATGTAACTCTTTACGTAAATCGTGATTACTAGAATCCATCTCCAATGCCGATTTTAAATCTCTGACTGCTTCTTCATACTTTTCCAACCTTCTATATGTGTCAGCTCGTCTTCTCAACACTTTAACAAATGTTGGGTCCATCTCTAACGCTTTATCCATATCGCTAATTGCCTCTTCAAATTTTCCTAGTTTATTCAATGCCATGGATCGATTGGAGTAAATTTTTGAATTGGTGCCAATATTTGTTGGGTCGATTTCTAATGCTAAAGTATATAATTTATATGCTGTGTCATAATCGCCCTCTTTAAATGCTTCGTTACCAGCATTTTTTTGACTTTCAATTGAACGCGCTTTCTAATTTTTTTCGTAAAAAAGATTACGTATAAAAAAAGATGATTAGAAAATCACAATTATATGCTTTTTTTCATTCATCCATTTTTAGATTTTATACTTTACCTTTAGTAAAAGGCGTGCATTTTTATGATCCGGATCACATCTTAAAGCCTCTTGACAATGAGCGGTTGCTTTTGTGTTATCACCTTCAATATATAATATATGTGCTCTTAATACATGTGCGTCAGGATTATGTGGATCAAATCTTAATATTTCACTGAAAATAAAATAAAATGAGTTTAAGTTATGTTTTTTTTTTTTTTAAAAAAAATAAATTAACCTCTTAATTACTTTGCAATTCTTCCAGCTTCGCCATATTCTTTTTGTCCTAACAAAGCTTCACCTTTCAAAGTCTTCCATTTTGTAGGAACAATATCTAACAAGCCTATAGCTCTGTCAACGGAATTCAGTGCCAAAACATGCTGATCATTTTGTAGAAACACTTCAGCTTGATGTATATAATTTTGTATTTTATGCACTTGGTTATATTCTTGTTTAGCTTGTGAATTAGTTGGATCTAGTTGCATTACGTATATGTATATTCTTTCTGCTTCGGTTAAATTGCCAATTTGTAAGTTACATTTTGCTGATCTTAATAAAGCTTTTAGTGAAGTTGGATCTTTCACTAATACATTTTTACAATCACATAATGCTTCTTTTGGTTTTTTTAACATCAAATAAGCAGCTGCTCTATTTAAATAATATGTCGCTTTTTCTGGATCAAGTTCTATTAATTATTTATTAAGTATATGCAATACATGCGCCATATTATGTAATGGTAAGAAAAATAAAAGCAAATATATTAGATCATAATACTTTTAAAAAAGTTTTAATTCCGACCATTTACATCTAAAACAAACCTTCCAAATATAAGCATAGATAATATACAATATATTTTATTATATATTGTCTAACGGATCCATTGATCATCACTTACCGATAGCATGGCCATATAATTTAATAGCCTCTTCATAATTACCGGAACTATAATGATTGTTAGCCTCAGTTTTAACTTCTTCGGCTGAAGTATATCTTTAAATATATATATATTATTGTTGGTATAGATTGATGGATAAACATAGATAAATAAGATGTCGTGTGATGACGATGGTGGTGATGATGATGATAATGATAATGATGATAATGATAAAGAAATAGTATTAAAATTTTAATAATTAATATTTGTAAAAAATTTTTTATTAAAGAACTTTCTAGAAAGAAATGCATTTTTTATGATTTGCTCTAATGACCAACCATAATTTCTTTTGAATGCTTTTAAAAATTTTTCCATGCACAAGAAAAGAAGAATGAATGTTTTTTAATATGTATATACAACTTACTCTCTTGACATGTCAACTTCGACGTCCATGTTTATTATTGTGATATTGTTATTTTATTATTTTAAATAGTACGTGAATATATATTGCGTAAAGAGGACTTTTGCAAAAAACTAAATAATTTATCTCTTTCCGTGAAATTCAAAACTATACTAATACGAATTTTACGAAATTAATTTAATTTAAAAAAAAATTAAGTAAAAAAGAAAAAAAAATTTACATTTTTTTGAATTTTAAATATAAAAGAAAAGAGAAGCATTGATTGCCCCTTATTTGGCAAATACAAATTTTGTGTACAAAATTAGATCGAAACACGTAGAAGGTTAAAGAACAATTTATTATTATTATTATTATTATGCCCCCACCTTTTGCTAATCATTGAATTGTTGTGTGGTTATTTAGTATTAGCAATTTGAACATGAATTTTTGAGTACCAATTAATGTTAAATAACTAGAATTTTTTATTATTATTTGGTTAACAAAAGTTCTTTATTTAAAATGATCGACCAAATAATGTTAGATATAATTTTCGAAAATTCCAGTTGCTTTAACTTACCAAATTCTCATTCAGATGTTTGGATCTTTACTATATAATGACTGGGAGTGGCTTAGAAGTGTATATTGGAAAGAAAAAAAGGAAATGATAGACAATTTCTGTGACCAAAAAGGAAAATTTGGCATAAATTTTTTGTTCAGCTCTTTAAATAATTGAATGAAATGTGTGTTCAACTTTTCTCAACAAATAGATAAGTCAATATGATGTTAGCTTTCGGTATCATGGAATCTTTAGGACCAGTATATATATACACACACCAAGTATTCCAGAAAGCTAGTTTAAAGTTGATTTTCTCTCTTTAAAAATAACAATCTTTTAAACTCAAGAATTTGTTAATCAGAAATTCCCACGCTAATTATCCTAAAGTCCATGCCTGTCAACAATGGAGGGTTTATTAAGGCGATCATAAAGAATTTCCGAGTTTACAGTATGAATTTTGCATACCATTGATAATAAATATATGTATCTTTAATTTGCACGTTTTCTCCAACACTGACATTTTTCATCTCCCATTAGACAAAAATATCACATTGTTGATGATGATAGATAGAACCTTCCATCCTCTCCACGTCCAACTTCTGAAACTTTAGAAGACAAATGTGTGAAAGAGTATGGCTTTTTTAGCAATGGCTGTTGAATAGTGCAAGTAATTTCCAATTACTTGTAATTTTTCAACTTAAATATAGATATTATGTTGTGAACAAAACGAATTATCTTGCCGAGAAAATTTTATCAATCCTATTGTTACGAGAGTACTGATATTGTTATAGATGTTATCATCGTATTCTCCTTCTTCGCCCTCAGGTAAATGATTTCAATTTATATTATATGCATGCATATTGTTGAATTAATATCTCATTAAGTACTTGAAAAAGTAGAATATTAAAAGAGATATAAGAAGCAATCGGGAAAAATTAGTATTTGCAAAAGAAATCTAATTGGATGTTCACTTGATTTAAAAATAATTGGGCAATTAAATTGTTTATTGATAGAATCAACTTAAAAACCATCGTGATCGCTTTATTTAGGTTAGATGGGATAGGTATTTGTCGATTCCGATTAGTTATTTTTTGATTCTGAATATTAAAGATTCAAAAAAAAAAACACGCTTGTCACCATCAGTGTTTGGACGATCACTCCAAAAGTATAGTAGTGACGATACTGTTTATAGTAACTATGACAATGATTATATTAATGACAGTGATGGTTATATTGATGATATTGATGATGGAAATGATAATTTAATATTTCAATCTGCTTCTTTTGCTTGACTTTTTGCAATCTTTGCTAAAACTTTCTTCCTTGATAATTTCGTTTCTTTATCTAAATTAAATTATAAAGAACTTCCGATGACACCATAACTCTTAAGTTCCGTAGCGGATTTGATTTCATGTTTATATTTTTTATAAACGATTTCACAATTATTTCTCCAAATGAACTCTTAATATAAATATTAGAAGTGCCGGGGGAAAGAAACTAATCACACAATTCCATGCACACAATCGAAAAAATAACTCGGCACCTCTTTGAGTAAATAGTGGTAGTTGACCAAGAAAATTGATATTTTGACTAAACAAAAATTAATGAACAAGGCATCAAATTATGAGAAACATACCGCGGATTAAAAAAAAGCTAGTTGTAATTAGGTTGCAGCCATCATCAAAAGTCACAGCCAGTATTCTTGCATCAAATGATTTGTTGTCAGCTTTCTAAGGAAAGGCATAATGGAAAAGAGGTTATCCTTATAAAGATTGTTAATTAAATGATCATTGGATAATCGTGTAGTTATCCACAAAAAATATCCGCAAATTTTGTGATAAAATAGAACATTAATGGCACATTAAAAGCAGTAGTAGCAGTAACGGTACCAGCAACAATTGCAGTAGAACGAGAATATGACAGTGGTAGTGGTAATAAACTCGCTCGCTCACTAATTGTTCGCTGTGATCAACGTTACACTTTCCATATAAATCTTGATTTTCCCTAAAATTTTCTAATCTTGGTAAAAGCCTAAATTTATTTTGTCACGTTTTTATATCCAAAAAATCAAACTTCCATAATGCTATATATTAATTCAGAAACATTATTAAGCAAACTATACATTTAAACAATATATATGAACTACTAATTCAGATATCTTTTATGTAAATTAGAATATTTATTGTTTTTTTTGCGATAATAAATATTAATGTTCTATTTTATCACAAAATTTGTGGACATTTTTGTGAAACGACATAATTTTTGCGGATAGCTACATGATTATATTAATATCCTTTGGCAGGCAAGGATATTTCTTGACACCAGCAAATTTTACCATTTCCAAAACTTTATAACTGCTGTTTTAGTCTTTATTATGCACGTCAAAAATTATCGATCTGCATTGTGTACTACATTTGTTATATTTTTTTTTTTTTGTAATTATTATATATAGGTAATACGAAAAACTTGAAAGTATTTTAAATTTTTATCTCATTTTAATATTTAAAATAATTAAGTGTGGCTTATGAATCAATGCCTCTTTGGCCCAGTGGTAAGGCGTCGCTCTCGTAAAGCGAAGATCGGTGGTTCGAATCCGCCAAGGGGCTCATTTTCCATAATTTTCAAAAATCATAAATTTTTTGTTATGTTTCTTATGCAAAATAATGCATAAATATGTTGATATTATCTGGTAAAAAAAAGAAAAGTCACCATTGGAATATTTTCGTTAATTGGGTTATTGTTAGATAGATCAAACTAAGAGATTCGAAATTTTCTTTTTGAAGCTAAAATCAATTTCATAAATACGATATTCATTCATACATTTAATTACTTATTATGAATGTATGGATTATTATTTCATTCCATTTAATTCACACGTGACATATCAAAAATGAATTTAAATTTAAAATTTAAAATTTTTATATAATTTGGACAATAAAAGTTTAATTTAAATAATTACAAGGCTTAAATTAATTAGAACAAGATTTATTGTTATATATGGGAGACTGTAGCCAAAAAAAGATGGTTCTGGTAAAACTAATAATTTTTTAATTGAATTTGATTAGAATCTATATATAAAATAATTAAAATTTGAAATAAGTTAATAATAAAATTATTGATAATTAATTTAATTAAATAATAATAATTACCATTATAATTTCCAATAATTGAGACTTTATTTGAATTAACAGGTTGTGGAAGATTTGTAAAATTCAATAATCTGCTAGTATAAACAGCATTTGGATGTACAGTTGCTGTAATTGTTGAAGGATCAAATTCAATATCATCCAATTCATCAAATTTTTTTCTGACTAATCTCATTTCGTCAATTTTCTCTCTAGAATATCTAGAATGACTGTCTAATCTAATATAAGAATCAATAAATGCATGCCTCCAGAAAACTATAATATCATAAATTTCTTTGGCAGTTGGTCGTTTGTCTGGATCAGCATCCATGCATTTATAGGCTAATTCAATATAAAAGTTTGGTGTGTTGATTGAAAATCCAGGTCTTACTCCTTCGCATAATTTTACAGCAAGGTCTGCATCATGTGAAATGTTGCTGAAAGGTTGTTGTCCTGTCGATACTACTGACATCAGAACCCCAAAGCTATAAATGTCAGATGCCATTGTGTATGGCTTGCCATTTAAATTTTCAGGGGATAAATAAGGTAATACACCATATACATTATTTTTTTTATTTGATGTTAAAGTTTGATCAGTGGGAACTGACAGTCCTAAATCTGCAATATATGAAACATAAGAACCATGAAGAATATTTCCACTATGAAGATCATGATGAATAATATTTTGTTCATGAATATTTTTTAAACCGATAATAATATTTTCAAGAATATAAATTTTATCTATCCATTTTAAATTTTTAAATTCTTTTGATAAATAATTTTGAAGACTTCCATCTTGCATATATTGCATTACAAACATATAATCTTTTGTGGTTGGATCTTGTGTTATTCCATAAGTTTTAATTACTGCATCACTTCGGTGAAATTTAACATAATTTTTGAACTAAAGCACTATTAGTGAATTATATTATTTTCTTTCATAACAACAACAATAAAATATCTACCTCGTTTAAAAAATCATCAGAAATATTTTGTGAATTATGTAATTTTTTTAATACCACAATCCTATCTTCAAAGCATCTTTTATTTTTACTATCAACATATTTTTTACCATTTATCCAAATAGCTTTGTATATAATTGCAAAACCACCTTCGCCTATCTTTTCAATGTCTTTTAATTCATCATAATGAATCCATTGAAGATGATATCCATTAGTATATATTGTTGCTGTAAGTTGTGTGCTTTTAATCAAATCATCAACCATTTCATTACCACTAGTCCATCCTTTAGTTAATAACTGTGGATCGCATGATTGACACCATGAATAAAAAGTATTATATCTATTGCAAGTTGGACATTTACCGAAATTCTCATATCTTTTATTTGAATATTCATCCTTTTTGAGTATAT